GAGGTTATGATTTGTGTCTTGTTTACATTTTTATTGTAAAATATCAATGGTTGGTCGCCGTTGGTGATGATGGGTCATAGTCATAATTGTCTCCAGCTTTCACAAATCTTCCTTTCACTCGTTTTCTCGTGTCAGCTCTAGCTTTGCGAGATGCATATCGAATCTGTTTCCCAAAACTACAATTCAAACAATTAAAAACTTGAATCCAAGAAGTTTGTTAGACCATCTCCAATGTATTCTGTATATTTGACTCTAAAATAGAGTAAAAAAAAAGTATTCTTCTATTTTCACTCCAGTATCTCTATTATAGAGGAAATGCTATTTTTTCATCTATTTTAGAGTTTTCTACACTTTTTCCTCTATATATAGAGGCAAAAATATCAATTTCTATTTTAGAGTTAGAAATAGAAATAGGTTGGAGAAAAAATAAAGAAATACTATTTTTTATCTATTTTTGGAGGAATAAATAGAGATGGGTGGGAAATGCCTTTATGATGTTTTTTCTAATGAATTAAAAATAAATAAACACTTACGAGCGCTTTAATTTCTTCTCCTTGTATCTCAACTTAGCTTGGTTTCTTGCTTGTGGACAACTAACTTCAAGATTTGATTCCCATGGCGAATCGCTCATTATAAACCCTGGAGACATTCCACAATCTTGGTAATCCGCTGCACTACTTTCTCCTGTGATGTTGGAGATGGTAAGTGACATGGTCGGATGGATTTGTCCGAACAAGACAGGTGATGCAGGAAGAGGAAGAGGAAGTCCATTGTTGATGTTCATTTGCAACGGACTTGACTGATGATAACTAGTGCAACCTTCTTGTCCTGGTGATGATGCCTGAGACAGAATATCCCTTGTTTCATTAGGGAATGTTCTAAGCTACTATTTAGATTATATCAAAAGAAAAGCGAAAGAGACCTCTAAAGCGTTGTCTATAGTAAAGTTTGAGGCGGTAACCGATGTGTTGTTCTTGTCGATCAAGAGACTTTTCGGTGGTACCATATGGTCCGAATCTATGTGTTCTTGTGATGAACATCCTATGATATCATCTCCAACGTCAAAGTTTAACGGCGCATCGTCCAAGTTAAGCCCTTCGCATAGATCTTCTTCGCCTTCATCAAGTTTAAGAACCAAATCAGGACACCCCTGGAAACACACACAGAAATGAGAACCACAATTTCCATCAAGAACTTATAAGAAACACATTTAAATTAATTCTTCTACTTATTACCCTAGATTCCATGGTAAATAAAGATGATTGATCACTGAGGTTTTGAGTGTAACTGATGTTGTGTGGTACCATGGAATAAGATGAACCCATCAAACAGTCTAATTGGTTGATTTTCGCCATCCCGAACACGGCGTTGTTTGGATCATTTGAGGGCAAAGAACCAACAAACGGACTAACCAAACCGGAGACAGAAGGTTCAAGAATTGAAGACCACATTGTGACAAATTCCGTTGGAGAAGGACAACCAGAGAAAGGATCCAGGTTCTGAAGTCTGTGTCCTAAACAAGAGCAGTTATGCCAATGACATCCTTGGCAATGTGAAACCTTTTCGTCTAGACAGCGGATGACGCCTGGTTGTGAGAAGCATTTCTCGCAGATCAAAGATCGTGTGTGCCTGCGAGACAGAGGATTCGCAGAGTGTACGTGGATGTCGCAGTTTAGGCAAAGTTTAGCCAAATCTGATTTGCAATAAATCACTGCTTGTGCGGTTGCACAGTGGTCACACTTTGGCTCCATATTTGGAGACATGATTAACAAAATGATTTGCTTAAGTATAATCGAAGGGTGAATCTGGCGTTTTGGTTATTTCTCTCTCTCGGTAAACACACGTAAGATCCTGCACAACAGAGTATCATGAACATTTTTTTTTTTTTGAGAAAATAGAATCATGAACATTTAGAGCTGGGTAAGAGACAAATCTTGAAAGGAAAATGATGATTTTGGAATTTCAGATCGTTGAATTCAGATGCATTATGGGGTTTTGTATGTAAATAGATTGAATTTGTTACGTTAGAA